CTAGCATATATGCTAGTCGTTCCCGACTCTAGGGGGCAGTGCTCATTTCTGTTTCAAAGCTGAAGAGCTAGCACTGTCCGAAGACCTCTCCGTGGTCATGTGGCTGGCATGACTAAATGCTGAAGGTGCATGAAACACTGTTATCTTCCCACCAAAGGTGGTTCCTATTTTTCTACTTGCATTTTTACATGCTTTCGAACTGCTAGGTTGGCAGAAGCTGGGACAAGTAACGGGAGCTCACTCCACTAGGGATCTGAACTAAAAAACTGCTGACTTTTCTGACTGACAAGCTCAGCATCTCAGCCACTGAGCCATCATGTCCCACTCACTTGCCCACATACAAATCTGTAGTTAATTTCTGGACTACACAATGCATAGCAGTTTTTGAATTGGTGCCCCCCCCATTTCCCTAACTGCAATTCTCTTCTCATTGGATAGCATGGCTTTTTTCCCTAGATGATGGCAGAAGTTGTTTATACATTTACATATGTGGGGGGTGAGGATGGGGAACCAGATTGGAGAAGCTGGAAGCAAGAAGCAATGGGTGGAAACTAATCAAGGACTGAAGCAACTTAGAACTGAGGAGAAATTTCCTGACAGTGAGAACAATTAATCAGTGGAACAATTTGCCTCCAGAAGTTGTAAATGCTCCAACATTGGAAATGTTTAGGGTTTCCTGCGTAGGCAGGGGGTTAGACTAGAAGATCTCCAGGGTCCCTTCAAACTCTGTTATTCTATTCTATTCAATCCTTCGCGCGTCACTCAGGGAAAGGCGCTCGGGCCAAGCGAGATAAAAGTGAGGCGAGTGAGGACAAAAATGAGGCGAGCCTGAAGTCGGCATCTCAAAATCCGCCGTCCCCACAGGACGCGGCGGCCTCTCCAAAAGGACAACGCTGCGTCTTTGCGCGCGCTCCAGGCGCCGGCCGGCCCGAGGTTGCAACTGAGGCGAAGAGGAGGCTTCCCACCTCCTCAATGCCAGCCACTACCCCCTCCCCCAACGGAGGGTCGGTGGGGCCGATGGCCAGCCAGGGGCTCGCGTGGCTGGGGCGAGTCGCCGCCTTCTCCTTGGCTTCTCTTGGGCGGCGAGAAGCCGGCACGCTCCCAGCCGCTCGGATAACCTCAAGCGTGCCAAAAAAGCAGGCAGGCGTGGCGAGGGACGGAGGGAGGGGACAATACCCCCCCCCATCTCCATGCCGTCCAGAGGGGGGAATCCCGCACTGGGCCGGAGCGCTGTATATGTATATATAGAGGAGCCCCGCGGCAGGCGTGTGCCCAGGCCGCAGGTGCTACTCCTGCCGTCGGGGAAAAAGGCGCGCTCCTCTCCTCTCGCCTCCAGCCTGGGCTTCTTTCCTTCGGCGCCGGCTCAGGTAAGCAGAAACACCCGCCGCCACTCTGCGGAGATTTTTATTTTATTTTTTTATTTTATTTACTTCGTCAAGCACTTATTAGATAACCCATTTAAGTGTAAACATGATTTGAATACATGAAATGGATGCGAATAAAAAGGAGTATTAACTTCCTTCAATTAAGCTCTTCCCGCGGCGGGCAGCAGAGGCGGGCGAGCGCGCTCTGCTTATGCGCAGAGGCCCCCTTGAGAGAAGCAACCCGACTCCCAAGTGCCGCGGAGAGGGGCGGGGGGTCTAAGAGCCGAAGCGGCTTCGGGGAAGGGAGGCCTGAGGAGCCTCCGCCTTCCTTGGCGGGTCCTTCTCCTTCCAAAGGGCTCTTTTAGCCGGGTGTATGCGTGTGTGTGCGTGTGTCCCCGGGCAGCACCTCGCCCTTTTCTAACGGCGCCTCCTCCGCCCTCCCCTCAGGATGCCTCCCCAGACGGCCTCTTCGCCAGCCTCGCGGGAGACGAGCGAGGGAGGGACGCCCTCCTGGGCCATCTCGGACGGCGACGAGGACGACGACGACGCCTTCTCCTCCTCCTCTCCCTCGCGCGCCGCCGCCCCCGCCGGCCCGCCAGACTCTCCCGGCGGTCCCGGCCGGCTTGTCCTGGAGGAAGCGGCAGCGGGCGAGCGGTCGGCTCGCGGCGGAGCGCCCAGTGAGGGAGCCGTTCCCTCCAAGGCCAGGAGCCGTCGAGGCCGCGGCAAGAGCAGGAGCGACGGCCACGGTGTGAGCCGAGCCAAGCGGAGCCGCCGCGTGAAGGCCAACGACCGCGAGCGCAACCGGATGCACAACCTGAACTCGGCCCTGGACGCGCTGCGCGGCGTCCTGCCCTCCTTCCCCGACGACGCCAAGCTGACCAAGATCGAGACGCTCCGCTTCGCTCACAACTACATCTGGGCGCTCACCGAGACCCTCCGCCTGGCCGACCAGGGCGCGCTGGCCCGGCCCACCCAGGAGGCCGCTTTCCCGGCGCTGGGTGGCTGCGCGGGCGATCCCCAAGGCCCGGTCGCCTGGCTCTGTCCCTGGGACTCGCCCGGCTCGCAAGAGAGCAGCCTCAGCCCGGGTGACTCTGCGGAGGAGGCGCGCGCTTTCTACCCTCCCTGTCTCAGGCTCCCCAGCCAGGCGGCCTTTCCGGACTTCATCTGAACTCAGCTGCTTTACGCAAGAGATCGAACCGTGGCCAGGATCCCGGGGGACTCTGGTGATTGCTGAGAGCCCAGGACTGCTGCCGAGGAGAGGAGAACTCCTCACTTCAGAGTCTTAGCCTTTGCCTTAAATAGGAAATAACAGAGTTGGAAGGGACATTGGAGGTCATCTAGTCCAACCCCCTGCTCAGCAGGAGACCTGTTACTAGGGATTCCAACTGCAGACCTTTCTGATCGACAAGCTCAGTGTCTTAGCCACTGAGCCACCTAGTCAGGCTCAAGTCTTGTCCACTTCCCTGTACTTTCCCCAAGATCTTTCCTTTCTCTTCCTTTCCCCCAAGGAAGATTCCAGCACCTCTCACAGGGCTGATTGAAAGAATTAGGATTTAGTGTCAAAGGGATTTGTTCCCTGGGGGTGATTGAACCATAAAACCTGGCTGTCTGATTTGATACATAGAATGCCTGCCTTAACAGGCTGTGGGATTCAGTTCCTTGATTGCTGTTAAAATAATAGAACAGTATTTCTGTAGTATGATTCCACTGCAGCTGAAAACTTTTGGGGTATCCTTAAATTACTCCATGAAGTATGTCCATCTTTTGAGCTTGCTTTTGCCAAGATTTTTGCTAGTGTGCATTCCAGACGAATTGGTCATTCTGGGATGTCTTGCGGGAGCAAGAATAGGGTAAAGATAAAAGTTTGAGGTTTGAGGTTTATTGGGATTTATATGCCGCCCTTTTCCCTGAGGGGACTCAGGGCGGCTTACAACCACAGGGGAGGGGAAGTGCAA